AGCTTCCTCACTGATACCTAGAAGTTTAGCTTTATCGAAAAGGATATATAAGTTGGCGTCATTATAGGCACTTTTTATATCCAGGAATAGACAGGAGGTGTATTTTTTCTGGGAAAAGCTGACATAGATATCAGATGTGAGGTGGACTAAGGCATCCATGGTACCATGGCCTTTTCTGAAGCCATATTGTGTTTTAGGTAGCAATGAATAGTATCCAAGGAACCATTCTAGGCGGGTCTTAATCATCCTTCCAAATGTTTTTGTGTGACAAGACATAAGAGAGATCGGCCTATATGATTCAATCATATCCGGATTTTTATTGGATTTTAGAATGAGACATATGACTATCTCTCTCATGTTCTCCACAAAATCCTTCTTTATCCACCAATTGTTATATATTTCTAAAAGAAGAATTTTCGCAGATTGTGGCCAAGCATTAATTGCAGAGATCGATTCAGCGAAACCTCAAGTTGTCTAATAATTCCATTCTTAGATCCAGTATTTACTGCCGTACCATCACAACCTATAACTAACAAGTTAGAAACATCAAAATTAGGTTCCAGAAAATCTAGAATGCCTCTTTTAATACTAAGCGAATTGCCAGATTCAGGAGTGAAATGTCCAATGTATTTAGATCCTGGTTCTGAAACTAAAACTACTCGTATATGCTCCTCAATCTTCGTTTTCTTGGACGAAATTCCTTCTTTACTAGTTTGAACTAATGTTTGATCTTTTCTTCCATCAAAATATATTCCATACACTTCTTTTCTTCTCTCGTCTTTTCTCTTTAGGTCAACTCGAACTTTTGCCCTTTCTCTTCGAATTTTGCTGCGATCGACAATTTTTGATGAGTCCACTGTAGTAACTATTCCCATATCTTTTAATGCTGCACTAACAAGAATTGCTGCTGCCCTATCTGAAACACCCGTTCTGTCACATGCCAGTGCTACACTTGGTAGTTTTATTCTCATCTGAGAAGTTGAAGGAGTATTGAGACTATCGAGCCTATCTTCTGGTTTAATAGCGTTTTCTTCTGAGGAATTGCTGCTTGAAGCCTCTTCTCCTAGAGTAGCTGGAACTAATTGGTATGGTCTGTTTGCTTCACATTTTTTGTATTCATCATCATGACTAATCTTATGTTCTTCTGTTTTATTTTTACGCTTCCATCGCTTTTCGAGTACTTTTGTAGTTTTTTTATCAACTGTTCCAATTACCATTTTTCGCGAGGTTCTCTGGTCTGTTAGAAATTTACGTTCAATTACAGGCACTTTTGATGCACAAGAGCAGTTTGAAAAGTCTTTACACTTGCATAGCGATATATCAAAGAGTTTTTTTCTCAGCCGAATCTCTAAACAAAACGACATGTTTTGAATTATCAAGTTTACCGTTCTTTTTTAATCGTTTCATAATATTACGATATTTACTGTGGTATTCTCGAATTTTATGTAATATTTGTTGGTCTGATATCACACAAATGGAACTTCTTTGCCACAAGCTTATCTTATAAGTAAAACTGTCCAATCCAGGAGCAGAGCTATTTGTATTTTTAAGTGCATTTTCCAACTCTTCCAAAGGAAAAGGTTGCTCAAAACTACCATTTTATTGCTTTTATGTGTTTCCAAATTTCAGATACCGGGGTGCTCTTATTGAGGGTATTAATAAACATTTTCCAACTACTGCGTTTCTTTTTGTTGATTAGTAATTTAGATTTTGATTCTATGTTCTTGTATTTTAAATAGTTGTCAAAACTTGATATTAATTTATATTCAGTAAGGGCTTGTTTGCGCGAGTCAACGGCTCGACAGCATTCATCATCCCACCAAATGGGTTTCATAGTTTTTGGTTGGAATGGTTTTTTTATGTGCATAGCTGCATCTGCTCCCGTATTGACAGCATGAAAAAATGCCATGAATTTGTCAGTTGTTACCCTCGTGCCAGGGGGGTGGTTGTAGATACACTTCCCTGCACGATGAATGTTACTTCTGGGGTTCGAAGTGGTTGTTGATTTGGAGGATTAGGGCGCTGGGGGAAATGAAAAGATTGCCAATTTCCAGAGCTTGCCCAAAATCTATTTAACTATTTTTAATAATTCACCTGAAGGGTGCTATTACAAAGTTTGCAGCAAACTACCTGAAGGGTGCTACGACAGGATTTTCAAGTATTCAAAATGATTACAGTCAGCTCAAAATTTCACTTTGCAATGGTTAATCGATCACCTTACAACAAATGAAAACGAACATTAGTGACTTACCAAGTTTCCGGGGGTATGCATACCTGAGGATCACACCAGCTGTGAAGTTAGGATAAATAATTCATACAGGGTGGTCAAACCAAAACGGACGAATTTTAAGACCCTGTCGAAATTTAATTTTTTATCATACGGGGTTGAAAATTAAGTCAATGTGTAGATAAACTAAGGAAATTTTATTGTCAAAAAAAAATATCGAAAACATATTTAAGTGTGAAAAATAATGTCATTTAAATGGCGACCCTCCATTGCAATGCATTCGTCCAGGCGCTTGTTGAAGTTTGTCATTACCCTTTGCACCATATCGTGTGGAATCGCCGTGATTTCATTTCTGATGGCTTCCTTTAATTCTTGGATGGTTTTTGGTCTGTCCACAGGGGGTAAGATCTGGGGAGCGTGGAGGCCAGGGAACATCACCATTTTGGGATATTACGCGTCGAGGGAAAGTCGCTCTTAAAAAGTCCATAGAAATCCTTGCCGTGTGAGCTGTAGCTCCGCCCTGTTGAAACCAGATGCTGCCAGCATCAATCTCATTTTCTTCAAGATAAGGGATGAAAAATTCTTGAAGCATACCCAGGTACCGGGCGGAGTTGACTGTCACTGCCTGCTCTCTTTCATTTTCGAAAAAGTAGGGCCCTATTATTCCGAGTTTGGAGATTGCACACCACATAGTCACCTTTTCGCTGTGTAGAGGCCGTTGGTGTAATTCTCGCGGGTTGTCAGGTGCCCAATAACGACAATTTCGTTTGTTGACAAAACCGTCTAAGTGAAAATGAGCCTCATCTGTCAACATCACCAGTGCATCTTCTTCCTCTAAAATGTCCAACATGCGCAAGCTGAATTGCTCACGCTGACGGTAGTCAGTCGGAAAGAGCCTTTGAACCACCATTATTTTGTAAGGATGGAATTTTAGATTTTTGTTCAAAATGTTCATTACACTTCCGCGAGGAATTCGGAGTGCTTGAGCGCGACGTCTGGTTGACCGAGTTGGACTGTGAAGAACAGACGTTCTTACGCGATCAACGTTCTCAGGTGTGGCTATCATTCGGCCACCTCTTTTCTTTTTTATCTTCACACTACCGTGTGTACGAAAATCATTTACCCATCTCAGTATTGTGTTACGCGAAGGAAGCACATTACGTGGCGCGAGGTTGAACCGACGACGGAACGCACGCCAAGTAACCACGATAGACTCGCCATTGCGAATAAATTCTTCAACGGCAAACACGCGATGCTGCACGCTCCAGTTTTCCATTGCAACTAAACGTCCCAGTGTGGGCTACGAGTTGAGGGAGTCTGCGACCTTGACCAATCACACAGCTCCACGTACTACCCGTTACAAAAACATCCGTTTTGGTTTGACCACCTTGTATTAAGTGAAATTAGCTGCTTAAGTATATAGATGCAGTTCGACGGGGTTTCAGCACATGGCGTCTGTGGACATTGGCAACAGCTGAATCAGCTCCCTTCCTCAGGGGCTGCTTGGAACTCTCATTACAGGGCAGGGCGTGGTAAAGCCGTCAGGGTTTCAACTGAAGGTATCAGCAGTAGTTTGGTGGAGAAAACGTAAGGTGAAGAAGACGAAAAGTTGGAAGAAGATGAAAAAGGCCTGAAACAAAAATCCAATATGGCGCCGGGTTCCATTTTAACGCAAGCCGAATTGCTTACCTCTGTTGGAGTGTGGCCTAAAAGTGTCAGCTAGAACGCCGTAAAAGCGTCGAAGACTCCCGTTTCCCACATCCCCGTAGGATTATAGTATGAGACATAAAAAGGAAGAACGCTTAGACTTTATTTGGCGTAAAGATCCGCAAAATGCGTGCTTCTCACCAGAGCTACGACCAAAAAGTGAAGTTTCTTCAACTTGGACACGGAACACAAAGTGCGAGAGGAGCAATGGAACAACAGCGGACTGTTCCCGGACTGAAAGGACCGAACACTTGTCGAAATGTAACATCGAGGTTAGGAAAGAAACGAAGACGTAAACAATTCTCAGATGAAGGGGCCTCAACTACAAAATGAGATAATAGGTGGAGAGTTACGTATAAACCATAGAGAAAATCTTCAGGTAGTTAAACCAGAAATATGTCTACCCTCGTTTAGTGTTTACGATTATTGCAGGGTCACGGCAGTTCCTACAAGGTTTGGACAAAGATTAGGGCTGATCCCACGGACCACGATAGCACGTAGGACTTAAGATTGTGAATCTAGTCTTGGTAACCGCTCACAAAATCTTGAATTCTGAGGTAAGAGTATGGTTTCAAATTAAACCCGTAACACACCCCTCTTTCCTGGAGAAAGTTTTTCCTGAAGGAAAAACTTTCACAAAGGAAAAACTTTAGAAAATATTAGTCCCAATAAATTTACCCATATTTACATAAAAAAATGTACATACGTTAAACTGTCATTGATAAAACCTTACGGACGCAAGGATTACGGAGAAGCTCTACTTCTCTTCTATAACGGATTCGTCAGGCGGATGTGCTTTCAAATCGTGCGCCGACCATACTCCTTTGCTTCTACCCCTTGGATCAGAAAGTTAATAAGTCCAAGGAGAGACAATACGACAGATTTCTCAAGGTCCTTCAAATTTATGGGAGAGTTTAGACGTAATACCTTTTGCAGCGTCCGATAGCACATGGTTGCGCTTCCAAACCTTTTGTGCCACCTTAAAGGTGTCAGGTCGCCGCCGTAAATTATAGCGTTGACCAGAACGTTCGTCGTCTATTTTTGATAACGACTATAAAGTCAGATGATAACATCTTTATTATCAGGTTCTCTAGATTTTTCCTATTGGACCTCTCTATAAAGAAGTTTATTTCGTTCTCCATTTGTTTGAAGTAGGAGAATTTAAGTACTTCTTTCACTGATTCCATGCTTGTAGGTTTTTTTTATACTCCAACTACCACGAAGGCCTAAGGCCTAAGCACCCATTGGGTACCGTGGGGCTATAGGGGGATACATGGGAAAGGGGGGGACGCCACACGGACTCTGGCGAGGGAACACGTGTGCATGCAACATGCACACATTCTGGCTCCGCCTACGAGAATCGCCGGGTGGTACCTTCGCGATCGACAGTCAGAGACCATCTACCACCTACGGACAATTACAACATCCATAGCCAAGAGAAACATTTATCCTGGGACGGGACTCGAACCCGCACAGCGCACGGCGACTGATCAGGAGACCGAAGAGTCTACTACTGCGGCCACCGCTGCTGCCTAAAAACAAACACACAACATCCATAGCGAAGGCGAGATTCGAACTCGCGGCCCGGCCGGCCGGCTGATCAGTAGCACGACACTCTGACCCACGCGGCCAACCGAGGTTGTGCTTCTTCTAAGTTTTCTTTGTCCCAATTCTCCCAGAGGTCTTCATCCAGGTTATCACCTATTTCTACGATTCTCCTACCATCCCTGTACTTTGCTTGTACCACTTTGTACCTTTTGTTTCTAGTGTATGATTATCTTTTCATTATATCAGCCATAAAAGGTTCACCAGATGAATTGTTTTCAGCAGACCAGATGCACACTCAGTTTCTGGTATTTCCTTGCATGCAAGAGACCTCTTTCCTTGTTTTTTCACACTTGATGTAATTGCTCAAGATGTGTAGTTCAAAGTCATCACCTAAATCTATACTACCATTATTTTCTTCTGTATTCAAGTGTATTTTCTTTCCAGTATTGTCATAGAAAAGCAAACTATAGTCTTCCTTCTGTGATTCTCCCATGAACAGGGGAAGGTTGGTTACTTTTATTATGCAGTCCCATGATGATATACACGTGTCTTTCCATTTTAAGTTGTAATTCTCCCCAATCCAGGTGTGTTGTTTTTCCTTTACATAATCTGTTAGTTCATGTAACCTACATTTTTCAGCAGAAGAACCCCAACATTCACCATTGGGAGGGCACAGGTGACCTATCTTGCATTCTCCTTCTTTCTTGTTGTAATCAATTTCACCTTTGTTTAATGGGAAGTTTCTTTTACTGACTGTACACTAGGGTGGAGTGAAAATGGCATCAAAAAAAGAAATTCTCTAAATCAATAAGCCTATGCGTGGAAAAGTTGCCTAATATAAGGGTATATTCTAGAGAAAAAACGTGGCTCAAAATACTGACATCTTCTACTGCCCATTTGACTTTGAAGTTTCAAAAGTACATGCAAAATTTTTTTTATTGCTGTGATGCAGCTCTTCGCTTATTTACATCAAAAGTATCACATTGATGCATTTTTGATGTAAATAACCCAGAACTCACCGCGTGGAGGTAGCTGCATATCGAGTTCCACCGCCCTCCCACCCTTATATATATATATATATATATATATTACTACGACTAATTTACGTTAAAAACTTGAAGGTATTGACTTTTGGTTTCGAATACTGGCAAACTAGCTCTAGAAGCAATTCTTGCTCTTATAAATCCATCCCTTGCTATATTTCCACACACAGCAACTGACGCCTCGGTTACTAATTTTACACACCTTTCCACTGCTTGCGTGTGGCATGGATATTTCAAAATTTCAATTTCCTCTGGAACATCTAGGATCATTTCTTCTAGTTCTTCATTGGAAATATATTTTGTTAGGGGAGGTTCGGTTATTGTTGTCGACTGCCAATCAATGATATCTATGTAATCTTCAGCATTAAACTTTAAAGCTGGCAGTTTGAATTCTCGTATTTCTTGTTGGTTTGCTATTTTTCTACATTTCAACAATCTTCTGAGACCTAATTCTCTCACTGTTTTGCGAGTGTCAGCCAACATGGCCAATAATAAATTTTCAGGATGACCAAAATAACCGTTCCTTTGTATAACTGGATCTATGATTTTTCTTAAGTCTTCTGGTAAAAACCTAGATTTTTCTATCATACCAAATAGATGCTTACTCCCATGTCGACATGATGGTTGGCTTTTGATTGCAAACCATGTGGTGGCATACACTTTCATGACATATTCTGTTAGAATAATTAGATTCTGTGATGGTTTCGCTGTGGAGACATATAATCGTAAAATCCTGTTTGCGGTCGTAAGCCATCTGGAATGAGCCATTTTACCTGGGTTCCTTTTTGACAAGTTCAAAGAGATGTTCCCTTTTGAAATAGCATTACAAATTTCATAAAGATATTGTTGGTCGGAGCTAAGCTTATCAGCAGTGATTTCAGGCAAACTAATTTCTATTGGTTTAAAATTTGTAGGCTCTAAGATTTCACATTTTTCTAATTGCTTTCCTATCTCGCCACTGAATCCTTTTGGACCAGTTGTTTTCCCGTCTAGATGTTGCAATAAGTGTCTTAAAGGTAGTTCATTTGCATGCAGTAGGCAAACAAACTATTGCAGAGATCGATTCAGCGAAACCTCAAGTTGTCTAATAATTCCATTCTTAGATCCAGTATTTACTGCCGTACCATCACAACCTATAACTAACAAGTTAGAAACATCAAAATTAGGTTCCAGAAAATCTAGAATGCCTCTTTTAATACTAAGCGAATTGTCAGATTTAGGAGTGAAATGTCCAATGTATTTAGATCCTGGTTCTGAAACTAAAACTATATGCTCCTCAATCTTCGTTTTCTTGGACGAAATTCCTTCTCTACTAGTTTGAACTAATGTTTGATCTTTTCTTCCATCAAAATATATTCCATACACTTCTTTTCTTCTCTCGTCTTTTCTCTTTAGGTCAACTCGAATTTTGCCCTTTCTCTTCGAATTTTGCTGCGATCGACAATTTTTGATGAGTCCACTGTAGTAACTATTCCCATATCTTTTAATGCTGCACTAACAAGAATTGCTGCTGCCCTATCTGAAACACCCGTTCTGTCACATGCCAGTGCTACACTTGGTAGTTTTATTCTCATCTGAGAAGTTGAAGGAGTATTGAGACTATCGAGCCTATCTTCTGGTTTAATAGCGTTTTCTTCTGAGGAATTGCTGCTTGAAGCCTCTTCTCCTAGAGTAGCTGGAACTAATTGGTATGGTCTGTTTGCTTCACATTTTTTGTATTCATCATCATGACTAATCTTATGTTCTTCTGTTTTATTTTTACGCTTCCATCGCTTTTCGAGTACTTTTGTAGTTTTTTATTATTTTTCGCGAGGTTCTCGGTCTGTTAGAAATTTACGTTCAATTACAGGCACTTTTGATGCACAAGAGCAGTTTGAAAAGTCTTTACACTTGCATAGCGATATATCAAAGAGTTTTTTCTCAGCCGAATCTCTAAACAAAACGACATGTTTTGAATTATCAAGTTTACCGTTCTTTTTTAATCGTTTCATAATATTACGATATTTACTGTGGTATTCTCGAATTTTATGTAATATTTGTTGGTCTGATATCACACAAATGGAACTTCTTTGCCACAAGCTTTTCAAGTCTTTTATTAAAACGGAACACACATCACCAGCAAAACTAGGTCTTTGTTTGTTTTGTTGCACAAGTTCCTGTCGAAGATACAAATAATATTTTATAATATCCGCATAAGTCGGCAACACATTGTTCTTAAATGGTTTTGGTACACCAAACACAGGGCACAATGAATTACGTCGCGTAAAAGACATTGTTTTGCATACGAGCGCAATGACACGAGTAGCGAACTGCTCTAATGCTACCAGACAACTAAAACTATGACTCGACAATATGAGTCCATCAGTAGACCATTCGTGTGTCTACGCGGTCTACGAGCACAGACGATTTGTTTAGAGCGTTCCTGGAATCAAGTCTGCCTCGTTGGCGCCGAGGCGCGCGGGAGCGGCTTGTGACCTGGCGTCAAAGAAAAGTATTTTTCAAGGTCGGGATATTATCAAGGTCTATGAGTGTTTTATTATACTTCCTTTACGTAGATATTCAGTTATTCATATAGATAACAAGATATTAGTGACAATAATACAAAATGATATATATTTTCAAAATATTGGGAAAATGCCAATAATCAAAGCTGTTTGGGTAGTAGAAGTTTTAGGATAATTGAGCCCAGATTTTTTTTAGGGACTGCTCCGGGTAAAAGGCAACTTTTCGTCGCATAGGCTTCATGAAATTATAAAATTTTTGTTTTCGCTCCAGCCTACTGTACACTCGTTGTTTATTATGCCTGACGCACAATACTTTGTCCACCTAGTTCTCTTTGTAATAGCCACTATCACTTCTTTAGGGCATTCTGTTTTTTCTACAATTGCATTTCTTTTTAGATCAGTACTTTTTTCTCACTATAGGCGTCGCATTTGACAGTTGTGAGCTCCCAATTCATCGTCTTACCCTGAAATAGTTCATTGATATATAATTCTTTCATCCATAGTTCATTTTCGACACGGCAGATGTTGCCTCCGTTTGACATCGCATCTACGTACTGATACGTTTATACTCATTAACTTTATTGCTGATATCAAACCGAGTGATATCTACCCTCAAGTCACCAAGTTTGTTCGCGCATATGGCATATTCCTCTTGTGCGCTGAGTCCTGAAGCACTCGGAGTGAGACCAATGAGGCCTTGTCTCTCACACCGTAAAGCGCTTCGAAGTGTGGCTCGATTTTCTGCGACTGTACGATATACCGGTAAGTTTCTTATGCGTAATTCATATTGAATTTCGTCTCCAAGAAGCCTTTCGACATTCATGGTTAATGTTGAGAGAAGCAAAAAAAAAACCAAATACTTGTCTCAAAAGTGCCTGCCAGTAACAGAAATAGCTACCTATATACCAAGTGACAAAAATGTCAAGTCAACAAGCAAATGTAAAAAAAAAGATAAAATAAAATGATGAGGTTTGAATGAATTATAATAAACATTCATAGCCTACAAGAGAAAAAAATCTTCTATACTGGAAAGGAGGAAAAAAAGAATGTATCAACCTGATACATCTCCCCCCCTTACCAACAAAGAAAAAGAAACCCAAAGTTCTTTTTCAAAAAAACTTACCCAAGAAAATACGCTAAAGGTATCAAATAGTTACAATTACGTATAAACCCAGTTACTCGTATATATAAATACCCCGTTCAAATCCTGACAACCTCAGTAATTTGGTTCGCCTGGCACAATATCATCACCTTAGATATCTACCGTTTCATAGGAGACATCACAGCCATGATACGTTTGTGACAAAGGAAGCAAATCTGTTTAAAAACACAAAGCCGAGCTCTATAACTTAGTTACAAAGATACTATAGGTAGCACCCCTCTCCCAGAGAAAAAATTTACACGGCCTGTACCTATATACCCTTATAACTAAAACGGAATATTTCAAACAGTAGAGGTTTGCAGATTACCTCAAAACGAGAGAAAACAAAGCGCGGAATTTAGAGTGCTAGGCACTAATCAAATCAAGGGATGTCTAAATTTTATTCAAAATCCCTTACCCTGTAGATTACCACCAGCAATCAACAGGTAGACATCAAAATTTCGCGTTTTCCCCTCCAACTTACTAGACTGAATTTACCTTTTGCACAGTGCACTCAGCCACCAAATCCTTTGGAGACCATCAATAGTCCACAAGACCAGCGCTAAACTCAACACAAACTGCACAATTTCTTGATTTATTGTGATTTTGTACCGCCAATTGTGAATATAACCCTTTTTATTATAAAGTAAACAAAACAACCATATGTCAATCCTGGAATCATAGAACATATTCATAGAATCACGGTATGCGAAGTTACGATGTGTCAGTACGATATTTATGAATCGACACTAGTCGATGCGATGTCAAACGGAGGCGACATCTGTCGTGTCTAAAATGAACTATGGATGAAAGAACTATATATCAATGAACTATTTCAGGGTAGCCCTTTCTTGGTTTGAACATCTATAAGGATGGGAAAGTGATCCGAACCCATCGAGTCACGTTCCACTGTCCAACTGACTATGTACTAGATCGATGGAAACTATGGTTAAATCCACGGCTGATGGAGCAAACATTGGAGAACCGACCCTAGTGGGACTTCCGTCGTTTATTACAAATAAATTAGAGTCATCTAGTGCCTCCGTCAGGTTACGACCTTGGGCGTTATCACTTATACAGCCCCATGAAGAGTGATGTCCGTTAAAATCGCCACACAGAATTGTATTCGATATTGAAAAGTTACTGAAAAATGTTTCCCAATCGTTGCTGGATATTTTTTTCTCAGGAGGTTTACATACCGAAATGAGATTGAGATCAATTTCGTTGATCATTACGCCGCACATTTGGATGTCTGTGTTGTATTTGTTCGAATCTATTCTAATATCTTTAAAGCTCAAGTGATGTTTTATTAAAATAGTAACTCCACCATATCCGTTACTTTTACAGACTTTGACAATATTATATCCTTTAATGTTGAAAATCTGGTTAGGTTTGAGCCATGTTTCTGAAAGCGCTATTATATCAGGGTTAGAGTTTTCTAGAAATTGTAAGAGAACCCCTTTTTTGGGTGCGACCGACCTAGCATTCCATTGGAGGATTAAGACCATTACTAGGATGTTGATTCTGCATCATCACTAATATCTATATAATCACTTACTTTTGGTTCTGGAAAAATGCTTTCAATCAAACTGTCAACTTTAACTTCATTGATTAATTGTGGATTCTGTTTTACTGAGTTCACAAAACCAGTCAAATGGTGTGTTAAGTTATATTTAAGTTTAATGAACGTATCGCGGTGAGGACTTGGTATAAATGGAGATATAGCTTTTTTCTTTTGGATGTTGTGGAGCGCATTAGTGGTATTAGAAGAGGTAGGAGGGGTTGTAGGAGGGGACAATGCTTTTCGTTTCCTATTAGGGCTTGGTTGTGACAAAATTTGTCTCTTAGGTTTTGATACGAAACTAACGTTTGATGCGGTATTTGGAGATAATTCAGGAAAATTGTCCAAGTTATCCAAAACAGCAAATCTATTGTTTGTTACTATTTTGGCATATGATGGGTTATCTACTAATGACGCAGCGTCTTTGAAAGAAATACTATTATTCGCCATCACCTTTTTAATGCTTGTTTTTTATAAGCGGGACAGTTTCTCGAGATCGTAGCGTGTTCTGTACTATGACAATGGGCGCAAAAGTTTTCAAAAGTGCATTGGTCATCATTGTGATCTCCACTACATTTTTGACAACGACGTTTGCCATTACAAATCTTTGCTATATGTCTAAATCTCAAGCAGTTTAGACACTGGACAACGGGGTATATATATGGTTCCACTTCAAAAACACACATGTTGATTCGAATGGTTTGTGGGAGATTGTTCCCCAGAAAGGTGACAATTATCATCTGCCTATCTACGTATTTTACCGTACCATCTGAATTAGTTATTTTCCTTTTCATTCGTTTCACTTCGATAATTTTAAGATTAGACACAATATTTTCCTTCAAAAATTCTTCCGTGAAGTACGTGTCAACCATTTTTACCACACCTTTTTTGTGTTTGAAAAAGATTGGAATGTATGCTATTAGATTATTTTTGGTTATACATTGATGGTTGATAAGCGAGTTTGCGATTGAAAATGTTTTGAATATCACTTTGACCCTTGTCTTCTCTATTGCTTTTATATCTGTAATGTCTCCTGAATTCTGGCACTTGTTGGAGGTAGTGGCCAACCCTTATGGGGAACAGTCTTCCAATGTTTTTTGTTTTATGTTCGATGCATACGAAAAATGGGCCTGTATCTGTAGTTGTATAAGTATTCTTGAAATCGAATCTAGCAAGATCAATTTCGTCCTCTTTATTATTGGTAACCATATCACTTACCGGAGGGGGCGGCTCTCTACAGCCGCCCGTCGTTTCACTCATATCCTGTAAAGACTCACCAATATGACTTTGTATATTATAACAGTAATATAATAGAATGAGATAGTCACAACACGTAGATTGGGGACCATTTTTTCTTAGTTTACACAAAAAGAGATCTGTGTGTGACGAGCGTTCACTCACGACTGATTCTCCTACTCTGTTGAGGTACATTAACTGATTTGTACCATTTTCGAATCTTCATTAACTGGGTTATTTTTCGGAGAGGTTTGCCAAACAAGTCCCATACATTTTTCTTATACCACTGTTAGTCGAACTTACAAGAAACTTTTTGATGCAGAAAAAAAATTCCATAATAGCGCTGCGATTTCAAAATTACGTGACTTTTAGAATAAAACTGTTTGTAGTTTCATGCTTCAATCATTCGCTAATAATAATAGTGAAAAAAAATTAAAATAAATCCTAAGCGCGGCACCTGTCGTCGAAAGTTTGACGAAAGTCATACTTTTTCAAAAAAAACTGATTTTTTGTTTTAACGCAAAGGTTACACGTTTTTTTTGTCAGGTCTGTGCCGCAATTAAGAGGTCATTATCTAAGGTATCTCCCACTGCAATTTGATTCACATATTCTGGGACACCCTGTAGATAATCTAAAGTCATACAGGCTTTTCTTATTGTTGGGATGTCCTTGCATGTAATGCGGGCCATTCACTAGACGGACCTGAACTCGGACGGCAACCGGGACCCGACTGACGACTCATCCACGTTTGTCAATACATTAGACGGAAATTACACGAACCCTGCAAAAGAGCTCATTTGTACACTGAATGTGGCGAACCCAATAGCATTATGTCTCCGATATTATCAAAAAAGGCGAAAGTTGCTTTGGCTGTAGGTACAATCATATTATTAGAATCAGAAAAAAGGAAAAAACGTGTTTGGGTGAAAGAATGGCTGCAAAAGGGAGAACAATTTACTCATTTGCGATTATTGAAATGTATCCAATCATGTGAACCACTTGATGTTATAAATTACCTCAGAATGGACTATGACGCATTCCAAGAATTATTAATGCTAGTAAAACCTCTGATAGAAAAGAAGAACACTTTATTCAGAGAAGCAGTAAGCGTTGAAGAACGTCTGTTGGCCACCTTGAGATTTCTGGCAACTGGAAGGAGTTATGAAGACTTAAAGTTTTCTTGTATAATTTCTCCTCAGTTACTTGGAAGAATAATTCCAGAAACGTGTCGTGCTATATACAACTGCCTCCGGAAGAAATACTTATAAGTACAATAATTATTTTTTTCATGTATTCTGATGCATATAAGAAACAGAGTGTTGAAAAAACTTTTATTATTTCAAATTATGTCTAACAGTTAAAGATATGTGAATCAGTCTGTAATACTCGTAGTACCTTATCACTTCTTAATTATTTTGCCTGGGAAAAACTAAAAATTCTTCCATCACTTCCCTATTTGCAGACGCCTGATTTGGAGTTGTCAAACTGGTAAAAGTTGGTACATCTGGTTGACGTTAATGGATGTTGTATACCTGGAGTATGAGTTTTGAAATATTTGTGCTTGCGGAACGCATGAGGCACTTTGATATGATGGTGGTTGGTAACCCAGGGAAATATGAGAAGAATGTGTGAGATTTCCCAATTTTGCATGGTATAGCACATCCGAAATCAGTTTTTGGGCTATTATCTTCTGTCCAACTGCAATATCCTGTAATTGTTGACCAGTATTTTTGCCAAATGTTATTTCTTGTGGTTCAAGAACATCCTGTTGCGGAGTTTCCAATACTTTTATGGAAGCATCCAAAAATTTATTTTTCTTCTGTGTCCAAGTTGTGCAGTTGAGAGTTCGCTTGTTACGGGAACTTGGTGTTGCACTTTGAGGAGCTTCAGGCGATAAAACTGATGATGAATCCAAATCTTGATCAGAATGTTGTGTGTATGCATCGGTTTCCTGCAATAAAATAGCTCACAGTTAACTTTGCCTCATATGATAGCTGTGTTATTTTTGGTTTCAGTTTCCATCAAAAGAAGAGGAATGGCTCAAAGTAGCAGACGGATTTAACAATATGTGGCAATTTGAAAATTGCTTAGGAGCCGTAGACGGCAAACACATAGCTATCAAAAAGCCCCCAGGAAGTGGTTCATACTATTATAACTATAAAGGATTTTTCAGTGTTGTGTTGTTTGCTATCGTAAATGCTAATTATGAATTTACTTATGTAAGTTGTGGAACTAATGGAAGAATATCAGACGGGGGGTCATTAAGAAAACAGATTTTTACAATTTACTGATAACAGATTCTTTAAAATTACCCCAACCAGTCAATATGCGAGGAATTCAAAATAAATTACTCTTTGTGTTTATTGGAGACGAAGCCTTTAGTCTAATGACAAATTTCATGATGCCATACAGACAAACCAACAGTATTGGTTATGAAGAAAAATGTTTCAACTATCGACTTTGCCGTGCCAGGCGCGTAGTAGAAAACGCATTCGGGATCATGGCAAATAGATTCAGGATTTTCCTAACGCCAATAGCTACTAAAGTGGATACAGTTGATGATATCGTTATGGCATGCTGTGTTTTACACAACTTTTTACGCCGCAAAAGCACTTCTTACATACAATACAATAAAGAATATTATAATAATGCAGGTGAAGTTGACTTTCAACACAAATTTGTATATTAAGTTTAAGATGTATAGTATATGTGTTGAAATAAAATATCTGAATTATTATAAATATTGTCTTTTTAGATTATTTGTTAGTTAAAATATCTACTTACTGAGGCCTGTGATCGGTCATTTAGGTTATTTCCTTCTATCGAAGAAACCGCTGCATGAGACTCTTCTTGATCCATCAGGAAAGACAATAGATCAAAATACCACAATGTAGGTTCTGGTACATCCTCTGTTTCCACCCCACTTCTCTTTGAACTATTAATTCGCCTTATCTGGCGTCGGAAAGATGACCGAAAGGACGATATTTTTTTGATAACAAAGTCTTGTTGGCATCTGGAAACATTTCTTTGCTTTTGTTAATTAAATTCGCATACGCAGCATTTTTTTTCTGTTTGTTGCGGTAATCCTTACACTTGATGTCCCAAAGACAAGGATTTTCCTGGTAAAGTTGAATAAATTCCTCCCAAAAAGATTTATTATCTTCAAAAGACATTTTAATTTGAATTTCCTTCAAAAAATGCCTTGATACTTCCGTTGATCTCGGAAGAACTCTTTCGTCGCCGGACAAGTCTTGACAAGTTACACACACATTGTAAAAACAGCACGGATTGGTCGCGGTCGGATCGTAGGTTCGGTATTCAAATAAGCGAACTCACAACCCGACCCGGACCGCTGTGCGACATGTCTTTCGATACCATATATTGGCGGATCGGTCGGCGGACAAGTCAGGACGAACCAATCCGTCACACCAATCCACTAATGAATGGGGGGCTTTATAAAGGTAATATGAAGTGAGCAACATCATTTGAAATATATGTATGGCTAGTTTTTATACCATATGAGGGTTTTATGCTCACAAGAATAATAAGAAAGCATTTGGTCGCAATGGTCCACTCCCGCCATGCATTTATTATACTTATTTATCATGGCAGGTTTTAATTTTTCTTGTCCACGCTGAGTAGTAACTTTTTGTAGTTGCACGCCATAATCACTGGATATAGTTAAAATTTCACGACGGTCCTTCTTGAGGATTCCCTTTTCTGTTAGACCGGAGTGTTCCAGTTACATATGTTTTTCGGATGAGCAACTCCTCGGTAAGTTTTTCACTATTGTAGAAATTGTCCATATATAGCGAGTGACCGTTATCCAATTTCTCCGCCATTGAATCTAAGACAACTTTTCTGTATGTCGTTCACCAGATAACTCTGTATCTGCTGAACCAGCATCTTCAGTGGGGTGCCTTTAGGCTCGCACAAAACATAAAGTTTTATGCCGAATTTATGCCTTTTGCCTTTGACGTATTGGCGAAATTTTAAACGGCCTCGCCCCAGCACCATAGATTCATCAATGGATAGTTCTTAGTTGGATAATAAATCTCTACCATTTTATTATTAAAATAATTGATTAAAGGCATAATTTTACCTAATTGTGTTCGAGGTTCGTTGCTGTTTGTGTCTTCAAACTGCAGGCTTCTTAAAATCAGCCAAAATCGATTACGCCTGATAAACGATGAAAAACATGTCAGATTAAATAAATAGTTTTTCGTCCAATAGTCATTCATTCTATTGATTCTACTTGTACCCGTATAAAAAAGTAAACCCAAAAATGTTCTCATTTCTTTCGGAGTAACATCAACCCATCTACTGATTCGCGCTTCATCACCTGTGCCCAGTGCTATGAGATCGATAGCATGATTATTGGCTCGCCTACATAACATGTCAAAAAAATCGTCTGGGGCCATAATGTTGAAATAGTCTATTGGCTCATTGGAATTAACATTTACAAGTAAACCTGGTGTCTTTGTAAAAGGAAAATTTTGACTAGGAACCTCAGCATAACTCCAAATGGATTTTCCTTGATCAACGTTTGGTAAAGATGGTGGAGGAGAATTCATAGGGATAGGAGGAGGAGGGGGAAGGAGTTTTGGAAAAGAAGGAATATCTTCATCTTCGGATTCACTAACATCATTTTCTGTTGAGTAATTAGGGTCTTCGTCGGAGCTATTTTCCAATTGATCATTTTCACTCTCCGACTCTTCTAAAAGAGATAACAACTTCATCGGTTAGTCTCTTTTCATTCCTTATATACTTCACCCTCTTTGACGGTCCAGGCTCGTCTGCCATTATAATCTGTAAGAAAATTAAAACTATCATAAATTCGCCTGTGCCCCTGAACGCCTCTCGGGCGGTCATTAGGAGAAAGTCGGTTTATTTGGACCACTTTTATTTAAGAGCGGTTTTCAGGTATATTATTATTTGTTCGTAAAATAATTTTTACATTAAATTAAAGTCTATTTTTTGGCTTTACATCTATAAAACCATAATTAACCTAGTAGTTACACATTTCTGAAAAATCAACGTTATATTAGAACAGAACTTCGTTCCAATTTACCGGTACGGTTAATTGGACCACCGGGTTGCTAAATTGTACCTGAGAGTAAATCTAGTATCAAGTAACAAAACTTAAACATTTTTTTGGAAAATAACAACTTAAATTGAATAGGCGCTAGAAGTCAGACTTTTTATATAAATTTTCAGGATTTAGACTAAGACAAACAATCATCACAAATGTCGGGATTGGTAGTACAGGTTTCATGATTCCACTTACAGCATCACACGCACTTTACCCAGTCAACTTTTGGCCCCTTTTTATCCCAGTAATTTAATTTACATTTAGCACACTCGTTATCGGAGTTATCAGAAACGCAACTATCTGAATCATCCAAAACTAGGGCTTCTTCATCTAAAGATTCATCACTCGACTCTGCACTTTCTTGCAATTTCCTTTTCCTGGTTGCACGTATCTTTTTAGTAGAATTGTTCTCTGTTTATTTAGTCTGTTTATTTATTTTCATCCTGTTATTCACGTTATCTATATTTGCTTTCGAATCTTTTGCACCTTCCTCTGATTGAACGGTTGACAATAATTTAATGTTCTTACTCAAACTAACCGATTTCGGTTTCTCGCACTTCTGTTGGGATTTCTATAAGTCATTTTTATATGGGCTTGATGTTGATTCCTTTGCTTTTTGTGCACCTCTGCCTCTAGAAGACTTAACGGTCTTGCATAAAGGGGATTAGGTATTGAGACATCTCTTATTTTATTTAATTTCAGATGCTTATCTGTTTGTGGCGTCGATATTTCTACTTTCATTGTTCCATCAACCTGGGATATTTCATATGTCTGTGATGTATCAGCATCCTAAAGGGCCTACCACACGCGCAAGCTTCACCACAGTTCCACCTGCGCAGGTAAGACTGTGGTGAAGCTTGAACACGGACGTGGCTACCACACGGCACAGTTAAGTACGCGCAAGCCACATTCTTGTAAAAATCGTCGTCATGGGAACAATGTCTCCCAATGAAGAAGTATTGCTTCTGTTGGTGTATTTGGTTTTGTTAATGAAGAAAAAGACACTGTTAAAGTCTAAACGTAAACGATCGAAGTGGACGAAAAGATGGCTGTTGAATAGAAAAATTCATTCGCATATAAATCTACTGAAGGATTTAAAAGAAGACTCAAACGACTGGCGAAATTATTTACGGATGGATGAAAATGCCTATGGTGAACTATTACGCTTGGTTATGCCTCTCATTCGACGACAAAATATGGTTATGCGTGAGAGTTTATCACCTCACGAAAGGCTGACCGCTACTTTGAGGTTCCTGGCTACTGGAAGATCATACCAAGATTTAAGATTTTCTATAGCAATTTCTGAACAGGCTTTATCTAAAATTATCCCTGATACCTGCCGAGCCATTTACAAGGTTTTACAAAAAAAAAATACATGGAGGTGAGCTAAATGATGTTTATTTACAGTACAGTTTTTGAAGTAAAGTTCAGAACATGAAATTCAAAGACAATGTGTGACAATGACAAAAAATCAAGGTTGAAAATTTTCCCAAAAAGTAGATACATTTCTATCTTTTTGTTGTTGTGATTGTCGATTTGGAATGTTCTGAGATACTGTCTCAGATTGTGGGAATCGATCATCAAGTATTTGTAATTGTACAATTTGGTCTTGCTCTTGCAGGTGTGTCCGTCTTCCTTGTTGTTGTGAATGTTGATTTTGAGAAAGGTTCCGTGGTTCCGTGGATTGAGGTCGTGATTGGCTTATTTCTTGTTGTGAATGAGTTTGAAAATTGTTCTCTGAATGCGAGTATGGAGTAGTCTGTAGTTGTTGTGAGTGAGGAGATGTTTGAGGTTACGCGTATGGAGAAGTCAGTGTTTGTGAATAAGGAGAACTGTGAGGGTACGAGTATGGAGAAGTCTGTGTTTGTAAGTAAGGATCATTGTGAGGTTGCGAGTGTAGAGAGCCGTTATTGTAAATATCATTGATTCTGGTTACTGTTTGCCTAGACAGGTTGCCAAGTTCTGCTTCAAACAATGTGTCGTTTATTATTCTTTCCGCCCAAATACGCTGATCTTTGGGTAGGATTCTCAATTTTGATGCAATGTTTTTTCGATATACTTCATAAGTGTCGTCAGGTTTAAGTGTTAACAGTTTTTTGTTTATATTTTCACATGTTTGGTCGATAGATAAGGAATTTGCTGATGACGAAGGTTTCTTGCGTTTGCATGGGTTGATTGAAGTTTTATGTGGTGGAGGAAGCAACGTGTCGTTTCCATCTTGATTTAAACTCGATGACTGTGCCCTTGGTGACTGTGCCTCATCATCATCTGCTTGACACTGTTCTGACGGAATACTCTGTGATAAAAAAAATTATCAATAATATAATATTGATTTTTGCTAAAAATATGTTACAGGTACCAAACTCGCAGGAAGAATGGAGACAAATAGCACAAGACTTTGAGCAAAAATGGAATTTCCCTCATAGTTTGGGAGCAGTAGATGGAAAGCATATACGAATAAACCCACCGCCAGAAAGTGGTTCCTATTTTTATAATTATAAAGCTTTCCATAGCATGGTCTTGATGGTGGCAGTAAAGACGGGTTTACACGGGTCAAGTAATCGGTCAAGCTACTTGCCTTCGCACTTGCGTGGTTGCATTCTACTTTACTTGATTCACCACATCATACAGAAAGAGCGTTTACACGTATTCCAGTAGATCAGCAAGTCGACAGGTAAAACATGGTGGAAAGTCGTATTATCATTCGAAATTGCGTTATTAATCTCACAAATATTCTCCTGGAAGAAGTGGAAGAAATTCTTGAGGAAGAAAGGAATCCTAAAAAAAGGATATGGTGTCGAGAATGGCTTACACGTAGAGAAAGTCAAGGGGCTTCCACCAATTTAATAAGGGAGCTGAGGTTTGAAGATCCTAAAGAATACAGAATGATGCTCAGAATGACTGCTGAAAAATTTGACTATTTGTTAGGCTTAATAACTCCATTAATCCAACGAGAAAACACTATTATGAGAGACGCTATCAAACCAGAAACAATGTTGGAAGTAACCTTAAATTACCTAGCAACTGGTAATAATTATAGAACCCTTTCTCATCTCTTCCGAGTTTCTAAATCAGCGATATCTATCATGATTCCCATTGTTTGTCAAGCTGTGTACGACTGCTTAAAGGATTTTGTAAAGGTATGTGAATAGATAATAATAGAACATTTTTAAATTTTTATTTTTTTTAATTTTCATTTAGGCTTCTTAATAAAAAACAAACAAATCCAATTGTAACATTTTAGTTTGTCAAGTTCCATGCTTGCGAGATAATATCTGCGATAGCAGCATCATCATTTGCAACTGTGTCCTCGTTCATAATCGGATGATCAGTGCTGTATGCAGGAGTAGTTGCAGGAGGTGAATCCCTAGAAAGGGTTGGTGATTGAATTGCAGTTAATGCGGAAGCCTCACAAGCAGAACTGCTCTTATTTAACGCATTCAATGGATATTTTTGTATCACTCTTTGAAGTGCACCTTGCGCCATGATTGAATCAGCAGGGGGCAGTTTATCTAAACTGGCTGCAATAAACTTGCCAAAAGCTTCATTGTCACTGATGGATTGAGAAGTTATTAATGTTTCCTGGGCTTTTCGGACCTCTGCAACAGCTTCAGTTAAGGCTTGTAGCCGTGGTTTTTTATTTTTTGATCCTGCTTCTACTCGAGAACCTTTCTTACCGGTCGATTCTACTCGGGAGCATGTTTTGCTGGTCGAAGGTCTTGTAGGAGTTGGAGATGGTTCTTCAATGACTTGTTCCTCTAGCAGACCTTGTTCATTTTCGCTAGGTGGAGCGATTTCTGTCTCCTGAAATGAATGAAATACTAATTTAATACTTCTCATTTGCTCAATGATTAATTAATCATACAAATTATATGGTATATGGTATACGGTAATTAAATGGTTTTGGAATCTTAGTAAGTAGATTTCGTGTTTTTGAAACAAAAGTAAAGATAAAAGTGTCCTCTGTGAATAAACTAGTTAGAGCTGCCATTGCAATTCACAACTGGCTACGAAAAACGTCACCAGATCAATACTTCAATAATGCACAATTGGTTGATTGTGAAAACCAACACATTGGCGAAATAATACCTGGACAGTGGAGACAAGCGATACGATAACTGAGAAACATACAGGGGGGAACTGAGAGGAGGGCGTCGGAGATGGCAAAACACATGCGAAACAAAATGAGGGATTATTTCATTTCGGAAGAAGGAGCAGTGCCTTGGCAACGCAATTTTATAAATTAATTACCAGTTAATAAAGAAAAAATATACACTTTTGACTTACTATGCTTTCCGTTTCATTTTCAGCTGTGGAGCTATCCATTATTTCTTCCATTTGTCGGAACCACTTGACAGTTGGAACGTATATATCATCCGGTTTACCTCCTGATTTCTTAGACTTTTTAACTTTCAGCGCTTCCTGATTATAAGTTCTTCTCATTATCTTTATTTTTTGCTTTAATTCTGTCACTCCAAAACCTTCCTTTCCCATCCTGTTCACGATGTCCTCTTCAGCTGCTTTTCCCATGTTTTTATTGCGATAATTTACACTACTCTTCTTCCATAAACACTCTTTTTCACTATAGAGTTCAACGAAACGCATGGTTTCTTCTTCTGACCACTTCATCTTGTACAAATTAAACCTCAATTCACAATTCGTAGTATACCAAAATCACCAAAATTATTTGGTTATCTGTGATCAAAATGGATAGGAAATCTGAAAAACCCCAGACAGTACAAATCCACATTCCATGCGCAGGAACTTGTTTACTTAGTTGCTTTGTCTGTTTACATTGGTAAAGTAGACGGTCAAGTTGGCGATCCAATGATAAAGTAGAAGTGGGGGTAGCAGTCAAGTAAAGTTACTTGTTCACCGTGCAGAACCACTTGACTTGCCTCGTCACTTGACGCAAGTCGCTACTTTACTTGACCGAAATTGTTCATACAATGCAAGTAGAAAAAAATACTTGACTTTACTGCTCAACTTGACCGTTTATTTGACCTGTGTAAACCCGTCTTAAACGCTAGTTATGAATTTATTATATGCGAATTTGGCATGAATGGAAGAATTTCCGATGGTGGTGTAATTGAGCAGACGAAATTTTATGACAAATTGAATAACCAGTCATTGCATATTCCGGAACCAGAAAAATTGAAAAATTCTGATAAAGTTCTTAACTACGTATTTATAGGCGATGAAGCCTTTGCTTTAACCCCTAACTTCTTGAAGCCATTCAGTCAAAAAGATTTAACAAATGAGCGCAGAATTTTCAATTATCGCTTGTCAAGAGCTAGACGCATTGTAGAAAATGCCTTCGGCATATTAGCTTCTAGGTTCAGAATTTTTCATACTAGTATAAATTTGGCTCCTGAAAATATAGATATTGTAGTTATGACTTGTTGCGTACTCCATAATTTTTTAAGAAATGAATACTCTACCAATTATACCCCCCCTACTTCATTGGATATCGAAGATACGATTGAGGGCACTTTAACGTTAGGTTTAAGAGCAGATACAAATCTATTGGAATTACAGAGAGGCCACTACAGAAACATTTCCAGTGATGCCAAAGCGACAAGAGAAGAATTTTCAAATTATTTTAATAACGAAGGCACTGTGCCGTGGCAAAATAGAATGTGTAGTATTAATACTATATAGATAACGCTTTTTGTTGATACATACGTAGACATAATTTGAAATAAACATAGCTACTAGTTAACAAAACAAACAATTTTTTTTCTATACCTGGGAGAATGTGTCATCAAAATTTGAAATTCCCTGTCTGGGTGTTTCCGGGTCTTTTAAAAAACTAAGCAAGTCAACATACCATAACGATGGTTCATATCTGTCTTCTGTGCCAGCCCCAGATCTTGTTGAAGCATCCACTTTTTTTAATTCTTTTCTACAGGAACTTCTAAGTGAATTTATTTTTCTCTTTACTGTATCCTTGGTAGCTTCAGGTTCGACCTAAAAAGAATAAATTGTATTAAAATATATGTTCAATAAATAGTTCTTATATTAAAAGTGCATTTTTGATACTTACAACCCTTTGCGACACTCGGGGACCACTCAAAAACAAAACATATTGTTATAAAAAAAAATATTCAAATAACTAGCTAGTAAGATTATGTTATTACCTGTTTCATTAAATTTATCATTTTTTCATAGGCAGAATTCTTTTTATTTCTATCGGAATAATCCTTGCACTTAATTTTCCAGAGTGCTGGTAAGGATTTGTATAAATTTATCAATTCTGTCGTAAACTCGCGATTATATGAGCGCAAATCTGCCATTTTGTGACGGACGAATGCGTACCTAGCAAACGACGACTAGCCTCGACTGTGGCTTGAACACTGAACACTCAACCACACGCACAGGCAAGTACGTGCAGACCAGGCTTGCGCATCCAAAATTTCAAACAAACCAAAACTCGCGCAAGCCACGCTGCGAGGTTTGCGCAAGCCAACTGAACGACAACCACACGCACAGTGTTCCATGTACAAACCGGCCTGTGCAGGTGAAACTGTGGTGAAGCTTGCTCGTGTGGTAGGCCCATAAGATGACGTTGCTGCGGCCTGTGGCATTTTTGAGACCTATGGTGATGTCTGAACGCCACGTGATGATCCACCGACCCCTGACGTTTCGGCAAACTGGAATGTTCCGGCGGCATGAGAAGTGGATGACTCACAGGCATGCATTTGCGTATTGGGAGGCTGTGAAGCTCTGAGCTACTATAGGCAGACTATACTGGGGTCCATTACTTTGGACCCTCAGGTCGTCAAGGAGCTTGGACTCAAGGCGATTCTCAACTTCGCTAAAAGGGCGAGGCTTGTGATCTAAGGATTGTAGAGGTGCATAAGGGCCCGCTTAAGCGGCCTATGCACTGGCTCCTTATGGTTGCCGGAATGCCTCTAATTTCAAGATTCATTCATTCATTGGGAGGCGTTCTTGTTGACAAAACCGGTAGGGGAGATCCGGATTGAAACGGACACTTTTAAAGAACGGCTTAAATGAATACCTTGTAGTTAATAAATTAACTCAAAAACTGCATGGTAGAGAAGTTTTATGATTATATTTGAAATGTAACATATTAAAGAAAAGAAAGGAAAGCCTTTAGTTTGGGTAATTGAAAGTTTTAAAAAAAATTCAATTTGTCCTTTCCATCGCAAAGACGCATTGAAACGGACGTAGCTTTGAAAAGGGCAATATTAAATATGTACAGAAAAAAACATTAACCTTAAAGATAGAAAGTGCTTCAAAAACAACTTTGTTGAACTAAGAAGCGAGAAACTAACTTTAATATTAGAACTTAAAACTAAAAATAAATATTTATGATATGAGATATAAGTTGCCTATAAATCAAATTTTTTAACTAAGAAACTTAAGTTAAGAACAGTTGTTACAATAAAAATGCCGAATACCTTTAATACCACATGTTTCGTAAGCCCATAATGAGCATATAACACATTTTAACCAATCTGTCTTACTAAGCTCATACCTTTCCTTGCAACAAGTGCAAGTTACTTGATCAACCACGTTACAGTCTCCTTTGGTTTGATGATTTTGGGCTTGCTTTTTACTATTTAACTTTACTTGTTTTTGTTTGTTGTTAGGGTTTGACTGTGAATTCTTGACATATTGACTTAAAGGGACTTCGTCCCTACAATCATCACTGTCATTAGAAGGACATTCATCTTCACTTGAATCGTGCATGGAAAAATTATCAAAATCTTCGGAACTTGAGGAGTCATTGGTCAGAGATAACCGTAGTTTTACCCTTACGTGGTCCTCGCTGAATGTTCTTTTTTGGGGGTGCCTTAGGAAATGGCCTTAAATGTTCAGGCGTAATTTTTAAAGTGGACGGATGTAGAAAACCACTTTTTGAAGATTTTGGGCTGCTAGCAGTGGATGTTGAAGGCTGAGGTTCGTCGTCGGACTGAGCAGTGGATGTTGAAGGTTAGGGGTTATCATTGGATTGAGCAGTGGATGTTGAAGGTCGGGAGTTGTCGATGGATTGATCAATATATTTGGGAGCTTGATCTGAAGTGCGTGGTTCTGGTCTATCGGTGACAAATGATGACAAAAAATCGTCATCAGTGAAGACATTTTTATTAAATGGGTGTATTCCGGTTGTTGCAAATCCCTTAGTTATGTTAGCTGGCGAAAATGAATTAAGGAAAGCTTCGTTAATAAAGGAGGCCAATTCGTAAATCGTGACGGTTTTTCCAGGCTTAGCCACCATCCAGCAATTCATTGCAGCTCTATGGGCCAATTTCACCAACAACAGTCCGTTATTCTCCACCTATAGGTGTCAAATACAGCGAATGAGCTTCAAGTTCCAATCAACAAATTTTAGCAATCAATAGCTATGAAATGTTGAAAACAAAATACTATCAAAGTATGAGATGACATCTTGTCATTGAAACATAACCAATTTATTGAATATTAAGAAATTACATATAATTCAGTCAAAATTTTAAGAAATGTTTGATTTTTGAATTAAATTCATGTTTTAATTACCATTGTTGATTTTTTATTCATGATAATATTATTTGCTTCAATTGATATGCGATTTTACTGATTCAAGATCATCTACTGGGTGTTTTTTCCTATAAACCTGTTGCAGATAGCCATTAAGCACCTACTTGATGACTGGCTCTACCAAAAAGTTCATAGATATTGCTAGTTTCCAAACATTTACTTGCCGTTCATCAGAACCATTATGGAACCTTACATTGATATACCCACAAAACCATTCTGGTTTTTTAATATCCATACATCCATAAAGTTGAATATTTTTCGTTTCAGGAACTTAACAAACATGCACACTAAATTCACAGCGATCAACAAATACTCAAACATATGTCGTAAACCTCCCGGCAAACTTAAAACCTGCAGAAAAACAAAAAATTTGCAATAACTTTCTTGTTGCACTGAGTACATATTCTGGGTTATATTTATATTGGACGTTATTTGAATCGCAAAACATACATTGTGAGTCTTCAGAAAGTGCACATAGCAAAATCAAGAAAACTACACCTTATTTTATTGACGGAAAAATTATCAAAAAAAAATTAAAAAACAATAATTGATTTTTTATGAATATTTTAAAATTTTTAGAGTCAGCTGCTAACCCTATTTAAATAAATCGTTACAACTTTTAAACTGAATGTCCTATCATATTGGAATAAATTTTGTAGTGATTGCAAATAATAGGTCGTACCAGTAAAGTGAAAATTTCCACGAAATTAAATGCTATAAATTTAAAATAAAGAGGAATATGCTGAAACTCACTATTTTTTCAATGATTTTTAAAAGAATTGCTAAATTTCAATAAAAATTGTCCTATTTACCCTACCTTTTTTAAATGTTAAATTATTCTACATGTTATTAGCTTCCTAATGGTGAAAAATTGCAAGTTTATTACTTAGATACAAGTTTTTAAATCAGCGTTTCAAAAAGCAGTGAACTCAGTTCAACGCCAGAGCAGGAATAAAACAACAGTATTAACCTACATGAATCATTCATTATCTTTAACAAATAAAATCAAATAGACTTGTCTCATTTTGGCTTAATGCATCAAATGTTTAAAATGGCCACCCCGTTGCTGCAAACACATTGTAGCGCGAAGTGAAACTTGATGAGTTGCACTACGAATCATCTCGGGATCATTTTTGATTTCGTTTGCAACACGCAAAACTCTTTCTTCAAGTTCCGCTTCGCTGTTTATGGAACTGCTGTACACCCTTTGTTTCATTGTCCCCCATAAAAAATAGTCGAGAGGTGTGAGATCTGGGGAACGCGCCGGCCACCCAACAGGTCCTTGTCGACCGATCCAGCGGCCTGGATAATTTTCATTAAGAAAAGACCTGACAATCAGCGAGTAATGGGCAGGACATCCATCCATTTGAAGCATCATTCTTCGACGGGTTTGCAGCGGCACTTATTCCAACAGCAAGGGCAGTTCAGTCCGCAAAAGCCCCAGAAACCTCTCTCCGTTTAATGTCCTCGGGAGTATTATTGAACCAATCAAAAAGTTGTCAATCAGTGCGGCCCACACATTTACAGAAAATTTCACTTGAAATGTTGAAGCCCTTTTCAGCCTAGGATTTTCATCTTTTGGGCACCACTTATGTAAATTACGACAGTTCACGATGCCGTCTCTCGTGAATTGAGATTCATCTGTGCACAGAATTGTTTTCGGGAATTCAGGATTGTCTCTTGTTTTTATTAAAATCCATGTAGACTTAACGCACCTTGGACGCCAATCCACATCTTCATGCAAGTGCTGCACCCTTTGATAATGGTATGGATGCAACCCTGCTTTCCTCAAGATGCGCCAAACCGATTTCTGGGATACGCCATGACGTAACGCCAAACGTCTCATACTAGTAGTGGGGTCAGCAAACAAATCATCCAAAATGGCTTCTTCGATAGCAACATGAATAATAACACCTGGTTCGCGGCGATCTCGAGGCAAACCAAGTCCAGTGTTAGCCAGTCTTCTATGTACTTCTTGGAAGTTACGGGCTGATGGAACAGGGCGTCGATTTGGAAATGCAGCTAGATAAGCTGTGCAAGCAGCTCTAGCACTCCTTCGGTACATTCCATAATAATAATGGATATCGACAATGTGTGCCGGAGGGAAATTACTTATACGTGGCATCGCGACCAAAAAGCCAAAGCGTGATATGAAGCAAACGAAACTGATAAAGTTGGCAGGAGAAACACAAATAGCTGCCTAACTGCCCAACATTCAATTGTTTTTCAACTGGGCCCGCCGCCCCACTCGTACTTCAGCCCGCGCGACTCTACATTGAATCACCAAAAAAAGGTATCTACATGATAAACAATGGTGCCTAGCAAGACGATGCGCATGGGCTTTTTTATAAACACTCATAGAAACTGTTACATTTGAGTAATAAACGTGCAATTTTTACTTTTATAAAGCTGATAACATGTAGAATAATTTACAAATAAAAAAAGGTA